AAATGCAAGGTGTTGCCTGACTTATGAATTTGATGCCTCAATCAATCTCAGTACAAATATGTGTGTGGTATGATTTCTGCTGTGATCAAGCTTGGATTTCAGATGGGTAGTTTGTGTGAATACTAAAGGAGAGGTTTTGATGGTGTTCACATGAGTAACGCATGAAGAGCAATCATGCCACAGTTTACAGGGGAGTTAACCTCCTGGAAAATCCCTATAAATGAGATCTGATTCAGGCCTCTTACCAACCCTGTGAACTAGACAAACAGCATTATAAAGGTCTGTTAAGTTTAAAACTCATCACATGTTAAACAGAAAAGCCCCTTTGTTAAAATACCACAGGCAAAGAGCCATTAGGCTATTTTGGCTTTATGCAGTTGTATGAAACTCAAAATTACTTGGAATTCCCCATGTATTGCTAAAACAGCAACAAAGCTTGGTTTTGATTTTGAAATGAGAAATACCCTACTCAAACATATCCCAGGAAGGTTCAAACAAACTGTATGCTATGCTAGCTGTAACATGTAACAATCTAGCTAGAAATCATGGAAAGGGAAATCTTGCTATTTCTCTTTGCAGTGAATGATCCAACTATTAGAAACTCTAAGTACAAAAGGTAGTAGCATGTTCAGTGCACGCTGACGTATCTGAAAATTCTTCTGGGCGTTATGATTCCTACTGGTAGAATGTGACACTTTATTTTTTTCATTATTTGTTTAGGAAATTGGAAATACCACACCTGCTTTTACTATTCAGAGAAGGAAAGACACAGCTGAGTTGCTAAACTTAGGAATGTTATAGAGGAAACAAGTTTTCTGTATGCGGTATTTTTCACTGTCAATAGAACTTTACAGGGAACTAAGATGTTCTACGTTGTTGTTCTTTTCCCCTTTTTTCCCCACAATTGACTCTTTTTCTGAAGTGACCAATTAAACACAGTTTATTTACAGGAACATAAAAACAGTTGATTTCAATTGGTTTGTCCAAGGCCACAGGAGGATACAGTGGAAAAAAAATGGCGTAGAGCTCTCTCTATTGTATGTATTTGGATCAAATCTCACTTTCATACGAAATCCCATCAGTCATATCTAACAGCCCAAGTCTAAATCTCCTTTTCACCAGTAAAAATGAGATCAAAAGGATAAACCAGTGAAAGAATGAAAAGAAGGGAGTACACAGAATAATAAAATGAATACTCCAAAGCATCTGTTCATTAAAACTTTACTACAAAAACAGAGCACTTTTTAAAAAAAAAAAAAAAAAAAGTCTATTCTTACCAGACAGAGTCTACAGAACATAGGCATTCAGTATCATATAGTTCATATATTATCAAATAAGATTAGTAAAGATTAGAGGAAATTAGATAACAAAATGGGATCAGTGAAGCAGTAAAATTAAACATAGGGATAAAAAAAGTAACATTTTTAGAACTGAGTAAGTTTTCATTATCTTAAAGATTCAATGACATACAGTTTTTATTTCACCTTGGTACCTCAGTAAAATTCTGAAGTGCCAGTAATCAAGAATACTTTCCTTCCCCCAACGAACAGAGGCAAAAGTATTGAACGGTACAGTAATACGGCTTATTCTTTAGAATTAACAAAACTTAAGCCAAAATACTGTGCACAGTGAAATACTTCACTGTCCAGATGTTTTGTCTTTAATGTGGAAAAAAAAAAAACCCTTCAATTTTTAACCAAAGTAATTACTGGCATGCTGTGTTTTGACTAGAGCAAATGAATAATGTTTGAAAATACAGTAACAAAGGTACTAACTCCCATATATACAAAAGTTCAAAATTTCCAGATTTGAATCTTGCTTTAAAAATAATTTTGGGAAGGGTTTCTCCTTCCCCAGAGGTTTCATATAACAGTCTGAAGACCATTAGCTAGCATGAGTATGGAACAGTATGCTTTAACACAGTGTACTTGTATCTTCTTAAACGTCTATGACTTGTCCTTCCAAGTTGTATTCCTAAATCACTCAGGCAATTTCACTAATCACAAATGAACTCTAAGATTACATACTGGAATTTACTCCCATTATGTTTCCTTTTCCTGTACTCCACTTGGTCTAAAATCTCTTTTGGCTATTTCTCTATACATATATAAATATATTTCTTAAGTTTTCTCACATTTTCCCTGCATGGACTCACCATAGCTGTATATAATACAAGTAATTGATCTCACAGTGAAAAGACCTTCAATGAAGCAAGCAGAACTTTTTCAGAGAGACTTCTAACGGTGGGGGGAAAAGTCAAAATACAAGTGCAACCATTTAGGAAGTGTTGTTCTCAATATTTATTTCTAATTCATTTCTTTTTAAAAGTGACTTCCATACTATGTTCAAATGTATTTTCCACAGAGCTTTTACATGGCCAGATTATTCATTGGCATTCTTTTTAAAACACCATTCACCCTTTTTTTATTTTTATAAATGTGGGAGTGAGAACGCCAAGATAGAATTCCCTGAATTAAGTTCTTCAGATGAAGTCTAGTTGAATGCAAGCTAACATAGCAAAAAGTATTTCTTCAAGCTTTATTTTAGGTATATCATCTCCCACACATTTTTTACCTTATGAATTTTATGCCACCAGTAGGCAGAACATTCATTTACTCAGCTGATCGTATCTCTGGCTGCCTGTACACATCTTACTAGAACCAGACCTGCAGAGCAAAAGAACAGCGTCACTAACAATGATTTTTGTAAAGGAAAAGTTTTAGTCGCTGGCATTCAAGTTTAAGCGATTTAAATCAAAAGTTGATACTTAAGCTCTCATGTGCTCTTAAGCAGGACTTGAACTTTGGATAGCAATTAAAATGCAATTACTGCATCTAATTATTTCAAAAAGATAATACATTTAATACTTTGACTCACCATGAATGGTGAGATGTTACACTTAGGTAAAATTTCAGAGGAAAAAAAATTGTTTCAGCTCAAGAATTTTTTTAAAGAACAAAAATAGGTAACTATTCCTTGTGCACCATAGTTAGACCATACCTAAACTAATAAAGCAGAACCATGAATCTAAATAATGTTTGTAATTTTATTTTCTATGCAATTCTGTAATAGTAGAAAACTCCCCCCGCAACTTTTTCAGAAAGAATTTTCTTTTGCTTTTATGATCTTAATTAAGTCAAGTCTTGTTAGGCACATCCTGCAGGCTCTTGAATATGGAATAATTAATGCAGGAAAATCAAATTGAAGACAGGACTATAATAGTATTTCCTTCCCCTAAAAGGGGGGTGAGAAATATATACATGCTGTTTGTAAAATCCTTCTCAGGAACATGCTGAGCGAGGAACACTAAGAAGCATATGTTTAGTCAGACTAGTCTTTTGCTCATATCACAAAGAAACTACTGACCATCAAGAAATGATGGCTTTGAGAATCTGAAATAAAGAGCTACAGCATAGATGTACCACAGAATCCTACAGTCATTGCAACGAGACTAAAAAAAAACAAGATGATGTGGGTTTGTGTCAGCTGGAACATCTATGCCTATTAGAAAAAAAAAACCCAAAACATTTATTTCATTATTTACAATCTAGGCTAAGATAAATAAGAATATTTTGTGGTCAGTTGTAGGTATGCTGCCTTACTGGCTCTGGCTGCAAATGCGTTTGACCCAGAAAGTTTCTGTTCACACTTTTCCTCAAAGGTGGAGTCTTCACTTCACTGTAAGGCAACAGTTTTGTTAAGGATGTTACTGGGTCATAAATCATCCCTGCTCTTCCTATTTTGTTGGAAAAGAATTGATTATTTGAATACACCTTTTATCCAAGGGTTACTTCAGGGCTAATGATGCAAAGATGGACCAGATTAAAAAAAAATTCTTTTTATGCTGTAACTCCTGTATGTATGTTTGAATCAGGAATTTCCTTATACTCTTCTACACTGGTAGGTGGCCTGGAAATTCCGCTGTGTCACATCACCATTAATTTGATAAACTTCTTATCAGCTGACTCATGCTGTATCTTGTTCATTTTTTTTAAATGCTGAGTTCGCCTAGCAGTACTTCCCAGTCTGACAGCTGGCAAGTTCTTAAGGCACTGGATGGTTGTTTTTTGAGGTCAAACATTTATTAATTGCATATTTTTATCTTGCCCTGATTTTGCAATATGCAGTTCCAAGCATAACTTATCTTACTTAGCAGAAGTACAACTGTCCCATTAAAACAGTCAGAGCAGTTAGAGCAGTTTCTTAGAAAAACCTTAGAAAAGATCGCAATTTTAAGCTGTCTCAAATTGCTACTGGTGTTATACAGAATATAATTTGTTTTCTAGATGTCTAGATTTGTTTTCTTATCACAAAATGATAAGAATGCTAATACATGAAATGTAAATACACAGATCATTTCTGGATGTAATGCTGCAAGCAACAGTGAAGCAAATACATGGATACACTATTTTTTTTATTGCTATGAAAGCTCATTCATGCATTTCTAGCAATGAGAAAGTTTTCATGTCATTAGTGAAACATACCTTTGTAGGATATGTAGCGTCCAGGTCAAAAGAATGAGTTACCACCTCTTTTGAGGATAATTCCTTTTCTAAATAAAATTTTTAATTCGGTCATCTACTTGAAAACAAAACAAATGTAGTATTAGTGCCCTAAGAGCCTACTATTTGTGTAGTACTTATTCCAGTTTCCTTACATGGTCATTATGCAAAAGCCATTAGAATTTAACAAAAATATCACCTCAATAAATACTGCAAGACATAATTAAACCACTGCATATATAGGATCATATACTTTTTGAGAGTATAATACAGATACATAAAAGTCCCAGGAAGCTAGTTGGTAAGCACAAGATTAAAACAAACAAAAACCAAAAAAACACCCAGAAACATTGGGAAAAAAAAAAAAAAGAAAACTTTATTATTTTATATAAAAAGGTCAAGAACTGCATAGAAACACAACTTCAGTAATCTTAAGATGTTACTCATCACCCATTTACACTTAGTAATCCCCAGTAATATACAGGAAGCAAGATGGGCTAGCATTGTCTATAATGTATATATTTACATTCAGTTGACGTTATGCATGCACAGTTTTTTTTAAATAAACAATGATCCAAACAAAATCAGATTCAAGGTATATTTTGAATTTACATAAAGCACAAATAAAGTCTTTAATCCTTATCCTTGGAAAGGACAAAATTTCATTTATTCAAATTTAAAGATAAGTTAGATCCAAAAGTAATAAGAAATGTAAACATCGGTTACCATGATAAAAACTTTAAGGAATATTTAAGATAAAGTGCTGGCATACGCTTTCAGCTTTATTTTTCAGATGTTAAAAACAGAACACTAGTATACAAAGACACAAGCTTCCCAGTTGTAATCTCAGTTTAGTAATATTTTTTGGAGAAATTTAAAACGCAATTAATTTTGTAAACCATTTGTTCCACCTTTATTTTTTTTTTTTTGATATTTTCTTCCTTCATCTTAAGTGAATTTTAAATTGTGAGTGTGTATTTATAAAATAGTTTGTATTTTTAATTTGCTTGGTTTAAATTAGACTCCACGCTGGTAGGGAAAACATTTTTTATAATAAGACCAACTGGGCAAAGTCAAGAACTTTGAGAATTAATGGTATAAAGTAGCTGAACACAATCCAACAACTGCCTCCAGTAAAGCCATTTTATAATTTCTATTATCAGCCTCACAGAAAAAATGTTACATAAGAATTAATGTGCAGAGAAGAGTCAGGACGGTTCATCTATACATAGGCATCTGAACTTCATCCATGCTGAATTTATTTGTGATTTCATTTGACATGAGTTTAAGTATTGGGAAACTTACTTCTGACAAGCAAACAAAAAAAAAAAAAAAATCAGGCTCACAGGCTTTACTGCAAGTGACTTTTCACTTGGCAAGATGACTATCACCCACAATAAAGACACCAGTCCTGAATTCCCCCATCCATTATGTCAAAACCTTACTCTGAAACTTATCTGTAAAAAAAATTGTCTATTCCTTTTATGGAAAAAAAAAAAGGATAAAATACAACCTTTTACTGATTATTATGTTTACTTACTTCTCACATGATGTTCCAAAACCTCAATTTGCCTAACTACTGACAGGTCCACAGGCTCACTTGAAAAAAATGTATCAGTCAGGACTGTGATATTTTATTATACTATTATACAAAACAAGCTAAATCCAAACCAAAAGATGATAAGTCTATGCAATGAGGAATGGAAAATTGCAAAAGTGTTTTTAAGTGCCCTTTACTTTCAGAACGTTTCCAAGAGTTTTAATACACTGCCTACACAGAAAGGCTTTTAAACTCAGTGTTGTTATGATCAGGATTATATCTTGTCAGTATTTCAAGGGTAAACTATTAGTTTCAGGCTGCTAAGACACGATTGACTTTTCCTCCAAGCCAAAATCTGATGCATGCATTATTTCACAGATCCTAGAAACAAGCAGCAGAAGGGACATGCCTTAGAAAATGACAAACTTAGAAAACAAGGCAAGTTTAAGGGCTTAAAACAGTTTCTGGATAGTTTAACTACTAACACGCTGTAGTCCATTTCTCAGAGCTAGGTATAAAAGCTAGGTATGGTGGTTAACGATGACTAACAGAAAAGATGAACTGAGCATCTGCATTAAAAGGGCATAATAAAAATCTCTTAATTGCAGCTTCACTGGCAAAAATCATCATACTCTATTAGTTTAATCTCTGCAGCTTTTTCTTTCTCAAAATGAGGAATAGATCATTATAGGTAGACAACACTATTTTAGAGATTGTATGAAAGGAAACCATCAGGTGTGTCAAATATACCCATCAGCATGGGACCCTCATCCTCTTTTAATATAACTTACTCATAAGAAGCAAAGAACCACAAGCACTAGGAATGACAATCTACCTATAGTCTATTCAATCTACCCGTATTCTATTCAAGCACTGCAGAGATCCAACACAGGAAAAACACGCACAATATGCATTATAATCCTTAAGCAGACCAGACCAATAAGGCAGAAACATTTCCTTAACTATTAATGATCCTAGAAAGCAAGCAGTTGTCCAAATGGTCCCAACAGATGTATCATATTCCCAAAGCACACCAGTTTTAACTTTCATTAACTTTCATTGAGAACGGTTACAAATAAGCCCAGTAAGAGAGCTCAATTCAGTTTCCTTGCTTAGATCAGTTTATTGTCAAGGTTTAATCATAAAAGTGTATGTTATTCAACCACTGCTTGGCAAAGCATGAGTTTAATTAAACTCATTTTCAGGTTTTTATTTGTTCACTCTGGCATCATATTTGGACTAAAACTTGAAAAGTGCAAATATATTTAATTATAGCTTCTTCTTCTTCTTCTTCAAAAAAAATCATTTTATTGGTGCTATAACTCCAATTCCTCAGGAGTTAAATCCATTGCCAGCAATGGATAGAAAAAGCAGCACCCAGCATAAAAGGACCAAAAGTGCATTTCCAGTACATCAATGCTGCATGCATTGGCAAGCCATAACGTATTCACCACTGGAATAGATTATGCTAAATTCATTTCAAAAAAGTCTATAAAAACACATTAACAAACAAAGTCTGTCATAAAGTCTTGTGGATGCTGCAATGAATCATCAAACCGGAAACGTTTGGAGACTGTACTGCTGTCCTCTGGAATGTTTTCTTTGTCTTCCTTTTTGCTACAGGTACCATTACAACTGGATTTTATATTCCGCTCTTCTGAGCATTTTGTTGCGTATCCTGGCATCAGAGAAGAGCAGCAAGTTTCTTCAGGGCCACACAAGAGTATGAATTCCCCTTGCTGCAACCACAAATGAGAGAGGCAGGCCTCTGCTGTGGGTCTTTCCCTTTGAAAGAAAAAAAAATATCAAGAGGTAAGTTGCTTAAGTTAATTGCAGAAACACTAAAAATATAATTAAAGTAGCTCTGAAATATGCTGAGAATAAACCTTAACCACAGTTGGCATTACAGAGGGAACAACATTACACAGTTAACATTGCTGCTTTTCCACCCACCACCAAAGCTACTAAAAGGTACATTAGAACTTACTGTAGTTCAGGGTTCAAGGTTGGCAACGCGCATCTAGATTTTAGTTGACCATTTTCCCTATTGCTAAGTGTCAAAACTGGTAAACTTTTAATCAGAACAAGGAACAGATGCTTCTTAGGCAGCATTCATAGTTCTTTAGAATGTTTTTATCGTTATATATATGCACACGCTTATGCTTTTGAAATCCTGCATTTTACCTAGACTATTTTAAGCAAGGAATCTAATCTAATGAATATTCAGTCATTCAGTTTTCAGGGAGGACCAAACGAGGGGAATTTGTTTTCAGCTTACTGTTGGAATCACCGTAGAGTGGTGTCAACTCTTCCAAAGTTAAGTTAACTCTCAAGTCTGTTTGGAAGTATCAGATAGTTCCTTTGGATAACCTAGTGCAGTGCTACTATAGTCTTCATCATGTTTTGCATTGGCACGTTCCACAAAACTCACTGGAAATGCAATGGAGCCCACTACCTGCTCTCAACTATGCAGGAACGCATACGTTTTGGTCAGAGACCTCTAACTTTATGGAGATAATCTCAGACAGACTTTTCCTCTAACATTCAAGAGGGTACAGTCATCAAGAAGTGGAAAAGGAAAAGCAGTTGCTGAGCCTATAACGAAGACTCTGGGATGCCCAGAGGCAAGACAGCAAGTAGTAGTAGTAGCTGTAGCAGAACGTCAAACATACCACAGGGTCCACACTAACGTTTACTGAAGCGCGCTCTACATCATTGCTTCCCTCATGATACTATGGTTCCACTGAGCTCTTTCAGCTGCTGACAAACCCTCCATGTGAGATTATAAAATAGAAAGGACTTTTCATCCTTGATCTTGTCCTGGTTAGACATGAGGTAACATGGAGTCTCCATTTCCTCAAAGTAGGCACTTCACAGATGTCAGCTGCCACAGTCAACCTCTCCTATCAAAGAGCCTCCTCCTCAAACTCACTCCTGCTTTGTGGAGCCTCTCTGGAGAAGATAGCGATTACTGAATAGCCACAAGTGACAACACGCAGCACTAGCACTGATAGTACTTGACCATGCCTAGTAGACTATGACCAGCTGACTTTACAGAACTCAGGTACTATTACAAGGATTGAGAGTCATTCTCCAATTGCTCTTTAAAAATTTTTTCCTGTGTTTGCTTGTGTGACAGTTAAAAATTCCATATTTGACACTATATAGCAAGGGCATACACAGACTTTGTGTACAATTCTCCCACTCTCAACAGCTATCACCTCACAGTCCAGCTGCTCTGAAAGGCCTCTGAACTCACAAGGAATGTGAAGTTATGGAAATGTAAGTTAGGAGTACGAAGAAGTTTGTGTTTTTGATTGAGAATGCTTTTAACAAGATTGAACATAGCAAAACGCTGTTTATTCCTGAAGAATGTTCAATCACAAAACTGTCAAGTTTTACATATAAACTGTATTAAAATAGAAAGCTGCATTAAGTATAAGGCATGAAACATCAAAGCACTGTATCAAAAATACTGTATTTTGTCTCTACACATGGAATAATAAAAGGTTAAGGTGTAAGACAAGAATCTCATCTTTCTAGAATGTATTTCTTAAGATTTGTTAATAATCTGTCTTCTGAAAGGAGGTATAAAGAAAGTCAAAATACTGAGAGCGAGCAAACTCAGAGCACCAGCCTGAAAACAGTAACAGCCAGAGAGTGAATTCAAGATCTTTTTCTTACATTATGGAAAAGCAGAAGCTTGCATTTTAAAATATCCAGCTGATAATACCCAGCTGATCATATCAATGCATTTTGAAATGTGTAACTGATCATTATCAGTGATACTAAGCTTCCATATTAACATTCATTTTTTCTAGGTGCTCCATAAACATGACGCATAGGATTCTTGCCCTGAAGAATTTGTTACTTACTCTGGATTTTTGATGAGAAGCTTTTGAATGAAGTCTCTGGCAGGCTGTGAAATGGATGAAAATATTTCTTCTGAATAATCCACGTTAACTTGAGATATATTAAGGAAAGTTTCTTGATTATCAGCTCCCACAAATGGAGATTCTTGTGTCAAGAGCATGTATGAAATTACACCTATGTTCCTGAGATAAGAACACAACAAGTAATCCTACATAGGGTACCTAAACAAAGTCCTGCGTCCCCCATTTGTTGTGCTGCAAATCAGAACTTTTTGCTGTATGCCATACTCGGAGAATTAGAAACAGCATGTGATCTCTCACTTTTATGCGATATGGCTGTGTGCGTGTACACACAGGTGGAAATCTATCCGTATCTCACAATGAAGGGATTTCTGAAAATTGCTTACTCTCACGGACACCCTTTTCCTCCCACTGAGACTGTTAGGAGAAGCAAATATACAAGTTTGACATAGCCGATCCTTGGAGGGATGGCAATTCTGGAAGTCAGAATTGCAAAAAAGACTTTCTAATCTCCATGTAAATAAAAAACACTTATCTTGGATATTTCACGACAATTCTGGATGAAGTATTGAAGGCTGAGATTTAGTCAACCTGCTGGTTGAATTAGAATCTGATTTGTGCCACAGTATCCTCTTGCTGAGATCTTTATTCATAAAGAACATGAAAACAAATACCACATCGTGTGATTTATTACAAATCTGAGATGGTTTCTTAATGCATAGAAAAGCAAACCTTAGTAGCGATCACAGTGCAGAAACATGTAGCTGCTGTGTGCGCGTATTCTGAGCATACAGCCAATTGTTTGTTTGCTTTTATCTCTTCCCATGATAGCAGACAAATAATAAGATGTTTTTAAAAAGTTCATGAACAGATTTAACAACTCTTATGGGTTAAGAATTTCCAAGGAGTAATTAGATCACAGCAACTTTTAAAACTAAGTTTTGTATTCCTCGCACAGCAAGAACACACTGCATGCTTTTTTTCTTTTTTGGAAAGTCCATCCCCAAGTTAGCCTTTACACTAACGTGGCTCATTATGTTAATATATGAATCCACAATCAGAAAGTATAGCTTTAAGTAGCCTAAGATACTTGTTTCATTTTTGTTAAGAGTCATTCGGCAGAAACTGATAATGCGCTAAAAACAAGAAGTGGAAAGTTGCATTCTTAACATTTACATAATAAGATAATGTAAACATACAAATATGGGGGGCTGGGGGGGGGGGGGCGGGGG